CCTGTCTCAAAAAGATAAATAAATAAATAAATAAATAAATAAATAAATAGTAAATAAATAAAATAAGAATAATAAATAAATTTTTTTAAAAGTAAATCCAGGGTTGAAGATGGGTGTGGTGGTGGATGCCTGTAACCCTATATTTGGGAAGTGGAGGCAGGAAGATCAGGAGTTCAAGGTCATCCTTGGTCAACCTGGGCTAAAAGAGGCCCTGTCGCAAAAACGAACATGTAATGCTGAAAGGAAAAAGACTAAGTATCAAGGGGAAGGCATTATTACATTATCTCAAGTCCAGAACTTACTTTGAAATATGTCCCAAGCACCATACTGGATGGCTGGAGGGATGAATGGCTAGAGGGACAGTCTGATTGGTTGGTGGACAGATATGTGATGAAGCAAATAGAACAAAATGAGTAACTGTGACATGTAGGTGGTAGATATGTAGATTTGCAAAAAATATAAGAAGATGAAAGGAAGAATTTTATTTAAAAAAACCACAAATCTAGCTGGGCGTAGTGGCGCACGCCTTTAATCCCAGCACTTGGGAGGCAGAGGCAGGCCTTCAGTGAACCCAATTGTTTTAAAATAAAAATTTGACAGACCATGAGTATAGTTTATTAATTGAATCCACATTTATTTCATAAACAAATAATGCTGGAACTAAACACATTTTATGCTATGCAAAAAAATAAGGAAAAAAATGAGAAGATTCATGGAAACTTTGTCTTGTCTCTGTTTAACTGTGGAAATCAACAGTTTAACATTTTGTTTTAGTTCTTTTATGCCTCCCCAAAAGTTCATAATTTGAATTTAGTACACAAAATTTCTAAAGTATCAATCACACAGTCCTTTTCTCATTGTCTCCATGGCATCTCCCTTCAAAAGTAAAGAATGCAGACCATCAGTGGAGGTATTTGAAACCTTGATGGACTGAGCACAACATTGGAAGCCCTTCTGAACATTGGAATGGGATCTTTCATTGGACTTTAAATCTTAGGAATTTCTTTATGAATAATTTCAACACTGTGTGGATAAAGCAATAAAAACATTCACTAGATAAGTTATACATGAATTATGAATTAATTTTGTGTAACCAGTATATAAGGTTCTTTTATTTATTACTAATATCTCCTCCCTAGGCAGTTTCCAGTTACTGTCTTGTTGCCAAGAATGGCTAAGCCAGTATTTTAGTCTTATATTCTTACCTGCTTTCTTCTTATGTGTGTGGCAAGAAATTCCTGAGCTCTTGCCATCATCTATTATCGGTTAATCAATAATCTATATTTATCTATCTATCCATCCCTCTTTCCACTCAAACATCCATGTGGAGGTCTGGAGTTTTTTTGTTTTTTTCCCTTCTAGGTATATTGAATCTTTTTTTCTCCTTTCATGCACTGTGGTGGGTTTTTGTTGTTGTTGTTGGTTTTGTTCACATATTTTGCCTGCATATATATGTATCGTGTGTGTGTGCGTGTGTGTGTGTGTGTGTGTGTGTGTGTGTGTGTGTGTGTGTGCAGTGCCCTTGGAGGCCAGAAGAGGTTGTCAGATCCCTGAAACTGGAGTGAGTTATCCACAGCTATGCACTCTGTGGATGCCAGGAACTAAACCAGGTCCTCTGGAAGAGCAGCCAGT